GGTGGCATGCACCTTTAATCCTAGCACTCATGAGGCAGAGATCCGCCTGGATCTCTATGAGTTCAAAGGCACTGTAGACTACATGGGATTGACTCAGTCTAGGAGAGAAACAGAGGCAGGCAGTGGTGGCTTTTAATCTCAATACTTGGGAGTCATGCACCTTTAATCCCAGCACTAGGAAAGTTGAGACAGGAAATGATATGGGTGGGCAGAGAAAGGTATATAAGGCATGAGGAGACAGGAACTAAAGCCTTTTCAGCTGAGGAAGCTCATTTGGCTAGATGCCTGTTGGCTAAGACTTTTCAGGCTGAGGAGTCCTAGAGGTAAGAGGTGGCTTGTTCCTTTGTCTCTCGAATCTTTCAGCATTTACACCAATATCTGGTTCTAGGTTTTTATTATAAGACCTTTAGAAGTTTGAACAATAACCAACACCACATCTGACAGAGGGCTAATATTCAAAATATATAAAGAACTCAAGAAACCAGACATCAACAAACCAAATAATCCAATTAAAAAAATGGAATACAGATCTAAATAGAAAATTCTCAATAAAGGAATCTCAAATGGCTGAGAAACGCTTAAGAAATTTTCAACATCTTTAGCTGTCAGGGAAATACAGACCAAAATGACTCTGAGAGTACATCTTACACTTGTCAGAATGGCTAAGATCAAAAACACAAGTGACAGCTCATGCAGGTGAGGATGTGGAGCAAGGAGAATACTCCTCCATTCCTGGTGGGAATGCAAACTTGTACAACCATTTAGGAAATCAATATGGTGGTTTCTCAGAAAATTGGGAATCGATCTACCTCAAGACCCAGCTATACCACTCCTGGGCATATATCCAAAAGACACTCCACTCTACCACAAGAACACTTACTCAACTATGCGTATAGCAGCTTTATTCATAATAGCCAGAAACTGGAAACAACCTAGACATCCCTCAACCAAAGAATGGATGAAGAAATTGTGGAACATTTACAATGGAGTATTACTCAGCTGTTAAAAACAATGACATCATGAAATTTGCAGGCAAATGGATGGAACCAGAAAAAAAAAAATCATCCTGAGTGAGGTAACCCAGACCCAGAAAGACAAACATGGTACGTACTCCTAAGTGGCTGTTAGCTGTAAAGTAAAGGAGAACCATGCTACAATCCACAGATCCACAGAGGCTAAGTAACAAGGAGGGCTCAAGGGTGTGTGTGTGTCTGAATCTCCCTGGGAAGGGGAAATAGAATAAACATAGAAGGTGGATGAGGGGATGGGGGAAGCAGGAACAGGAGGGATCATGTTGGGGGAGGATGGAGGGAGACAGTACTGGGGGAAACAACTGAAACTCGGGGGCATCTTGAGCATGATCTAGAAACCGAGAGCAATGGAAATTCCCAGGAATCTATGAGAGTGACCCTAGCTAAGACCCTAGCAATGGGAGATACAGAGCCCTAACTGACCATCTCCCATGACCAGACAGGACGTTCACTGGAGGGATTGGGACACCAATCCAGCCATGTAACCTTCAACCTACAATTTGTCCTGCCTACAAGATGTGCTGGAGTATAGGTGGAATAGAAATTGTGGGAGTGGCCAACCAATGACTGGTCCAGCTTGAAACCTATGCCATAAGAGGGAGCCCAGCCTGACACTGCCTGGAGGGCCAGGGTCCAGAGGCTGGAGAACCCAGAGACTTAGGTTAAAACCAAACACAACTGGCAAAAAAAAAAAAAAAAAAAAAAGTCGATGAAATGATTCCTAATGATATTCTGCTACACTCATAGATTGGTGCCTAGCCCAGTGGTCATCAGAGCCTTCACCCAACAACTGAAGGAAACAGATGCAGAGACCCACAGCCCAATGTTAGGCTGAGCTTGGGGAATCCTGCTGAAGAGAGGGATGAAGGATTGTAGGAGCCACAGGGGTCAAGGACACCACAAGAACACCCACAGAATCAACTAACCTGGGCTCACAGGGGCTCACAGAGACTGAACCAACAACTAGGGAACCTGCTTGGGACTGACCTAGGCACTCTGTATGTGTTACAGTTGGGTAGCTTAGTCTTCTTGTGGGACTCCGAACAGTGGGAGCACAGAGATGTCTCTGACTCTTTGCCGGCTTTTGGGATCCTTTTCCTCATACTGGGTTGCCTCGTCCAGCCTTCAACACCATATGCCATGTTTGGTTGATATCCATGGGAGGCCTGCCATCCTCTGAATAGAAATGGAAGAGGAGTGGTGGTGGTGGGGGCAGGCAGAGGGGTGGTGGGAGGGGACTGGGTGGAGAGGAAGGAGGGGAAACAATGATGGGTTATAAAGAAAGGTTAAGAAAAAGAAAAGAGAAGAAATGCACCTGCCAGGCCTCTGATGGCACAGTATGCAGTGCAGTGTGGGCAAGTGGGATTGGACCCTATGACTACTTTCATAAATAAACACTTCTTAGGAGCCTGATGCCTACTCTAGTCCAGACTAATTATCAAGTCTACAATATCCCATTTCGTGTTGCTGTAATGAAATACCTGAAGCCTGATATTGAAGAGGACTGTTCAGCTCACAGTCCTGCAGGGTTGAGGGCCCGATTGGGTGATGATGTCCTTCTTGGTACAAAGTGGCAGAAGTGTCACAGAGACAAGAGACAGGTGGTGTGTGTGTGTGTGTGTGTGTGTGTGTGTGTGTGTGTGTGTGTGTGTGCGTGTGTACACATGTGTGTTCCGTCTTTTAACCTTTTCTGAGGAAATCACAGTAGTGATGGTGGTGGAGCACTACCCTGATGGCCTCATCTAATCTAGTCATTTCCCAAAGGCTACAGTTGGACTGAGTTTTTACCCTTTTAACTTTGCAAAGGAGTTTAAATGTCAAGACATGCAGTGTTGGGCAACACAAAAGTTCCAGTTTATGGAGGAAGACACTCTGACCCAAGGATCTGAAGGGAACTTTTCAGAGTTTTGTGGCTAGTTAATACCAAAATGTAATGTGTTCTCCATGATACTACACAGACCTCCAACTTTCTTCCAATGTTACTATAGTCCCAATCCCATTGAGTCAGCCTAGGCTTTAGAAATACTTAAAGTGCATTTTGTTTTGGATGATGGGTATGAGAGCAAGAGGCTTAGCTCAGAGTAGATATGTAGGCCTGATCAATAGCTGAGTTAGGAGTTATGATTGTAAATGCCTCAAACAATTGTTTAATTATTTTTAAGGAGTGTATTGATGTGGTATCCTAGAGTTTGGAATTTAAAGCAATTTGAATGATCATTTACTTTATTAAAAAAATCACTTTAGAAAGAAATACACTTACAATAGTTGAGTTAAAGCTGTACTATTATAATTCATGGAGACAACTTTTAACTTTTAAAAATGTTCTTTGTAATATAATAATATGGTATAGGTACCTTTTAAAGCTTATTTTATTGATGTATATGAGTGTTTTGCCTGCGTGTATATCTGTGCACCATGTGTATGCTGGTGCCCTGGGAGACCAGAAGGGGGCATTGGATCCTCTGGAATTAGAGTTATAGGGTTGTGAGCTGTGCTCTTGGGTGCTGGGAATCAAACCTGGGTCCTTTGGAAGAGCAGCAAGTGTTCTTAACCACTGAGCTCTCTCTCTAGCCCCCAAGCATAGGGATCTTTTTCTCTATCTCCTTTTAAGGCTTTAAGATACTTTTCCTTCCACCTTAATTTTTTTTTTGGTTTTTTTTTTTTTTTTTTTTTTTAGTTTTTTTCAAGACAGGGTTTCTCTGTGTAGCTTTGCGCCTTTCCTGGAACTCACTTGGTAGCCCAGGCTGGCCTCGAACTCACAGAGATCCGCCTGGCTCTGCCTCCCGAGTGCTGGGATTAAAGGCGCGCGCCACCACCGCCCGGCTCCTTCCACCTTAATTTTAAGAATGATGAAAACTGCTTAACTAAGGAAAATAAATACATATCAAAATACAAAGTTGTGTCACGGTTTGAACGTCACACACACATTCTTCCATCTATTACAAAAGGCTCAGGGGATCAGCAACACATCTCTGTACTGCTCAATGCCAACCACAAGGAGGAAGAGGAGGAGAGACCAAGTTAGGAGGGAGCTCTGCTGAACTCCTTTGAGCACACAGTCGTGCATCTATCCCTTTAAGGTTTCCACTCCATTAGTGCTGTACTTTCTTCTGTCTTACACAGCTCTCTCTCTTTTTATTCTTAGAGAGACAGCGTCCTACCATTGACGCTAAGCGAATGATTCACGGCACCATGAAAAGTATTAACTACCAGCTATTAAAGTACAAGCCCTTGAAGGGAGAAAACCCATAACACAAAACTCTCCATGATTCCTTCTTGAAAAACATCATCCTGTCTGGATCTCAGAGAACTAAATTCATGTCCTCAGAGCGCCACATGCCACCTTCTGCTGTGAATTACACAGTTCATTTAGATGGCTGCACTTCCTGTGGCCCCTACTGTGGCAGTTCCATATGCCATAGGTACTCAAGGAGTGCCAGAGACCACACTTCTAAGATTAGCCCAGCGGGGGGTCGCTCTTGATGGAGATGGTGCACGATGTATTATGTAAGGGCTGAAAGTACCCGCTTGTTGAAGTGTCCTTCTCAGGGTACACAGCAGTCGAATGAGCTTCAGGAGGAGAAAGCTCTCTTGTACTTCACACATCATGCAATGGGAGCCACCTAATGACTTTGGGGGTTTGTAAGAACACCTCCCAACCTCTCTAGGGAAGCTGGAACTGCAAAAGGCAGAGACCGCTGCAGACACACAGGTGCTCTGGTTACCTACAGTCTCTGACACAGTCCTGTCCCACTCTTGACAGCACTCAGAGATAACATACCCTGGCTCTAAGTGTCAGCCCAACATCCCCTAGTTCCATGGTTCTCTAAGTAGGGCCTGACTGCATGACTGCGGCTCATGTACTGTTTTGTGCTAGTTAGAAATATAGAAACACTTGACTCTGTCCCCACATCGGTCAAGATGCCCTTAGCGACTTGATTTTAACAAGCTCTCGTGTGTCCGCTGCAGGCTAGAGTAAGAACCAGAGCTATCCTCTGCTCTCTGCCGTGTGTAAGTGGCTCAGCTCACCTAGGAATATTCCCTTGGCTCTTGGGCTCTTGGACAGTGGAGAAAAGGAATGTTTGTGGGAAGGTAATGAAACTCATTTTCTTCTTCTTATTAAAACATTAAATGTCCCAAAGGTCTCCACTAAAAATTATCCTCATTATCAATATATACCTTCACAGGTATTTGCTGGCTCAGCTGAGAACTGCAAGGCCGTTCGATGGACACTGTAACTTGATCTGGGATGCACTGGTCTGAGACAGCTCGCCTTGATGTCTATCTACTCTTATGGCCATGAACAAGGAGTTTAGGAAGATAATCAATAGTGTATAAGTGATTTTAGGAACTTTAAGTAAGAGAAAAATATAAGTTGCAAGAGGCCTTTGGACCTGTGTGGTTTTTCTGATCTCATTTTACGCAGGCCTCATAGCTTGTTAATGATAATGATCAGATCCCGAACCCAGATGTCACCATTCACAAAGGGCTGTCTTTCCTGGAGATTCGTGTAACACTGAGAAATTCCATCACTTAATATTCACATTTTCTTTAACAAAATCGGTGGTGAGTATAATAAATTCTGGTGAAAAAAAAAAAAAGATCAAGATGACATCCTACCCTCAGGAATCAGGCGGAGGGTTCACAATCATCTTCATATTCATGCAAGTTCCAATTGGAAATCTAATTATACCCATCTATTGTTTTGTTAAATGATCCCAGAAAAGTCTGTAAAAAACAAAACAAAACAAACAAACAAACAAAAAACTATTGTGTTAGGTTTAGAGTGATGGGTCAGTAATTAAGGGCACTGGTTGCTTTTCCAGAGGATCTGGGTTCAATTCCCAGTACCCACATCAGCTTACAACCATCTATTACCCCAGTTCTAGGAGAGCAGATGCCCCCTTCTGGCTTCTAAGAGCACCAGGAACTCACGTAATGCACAGAAATGTGTGGAAGCAAAACACTTATATAGATAAATTTAAGATTTTAAGAAAAAATTTTTAAAAAATCTATTGTCTCATCAGCAGGAACTTGAGTATGGAACATTGTAAAGAGCCCAAGTAGTTATCTAGTACCAATGGTCAGTTCTGAAAACATATTCATACAAGTAACATAATACTGACCGAGCAGGTTGTATTTATATGTTTAGAAACACACACACACACACACACACACACACACACACACACACACACACACACACACTTAAAGAAAGAAAAGACCATGCATTTGAAAGGGGTAGGGTTACATAGATAAGTTGGAGAGAGGAAAGGGAAAGGGGGAAATGATGTAATTAAATCTCAAAAAAGTTATAGATAAAAAAGAGCCTGAAAAGTCATTTCCGAGTTTCTCCTTTAAGAGTGTAATTAGAACCCCAAAGAAGGAAAACTTCCCCAGGAAATCCCACGTTGGTGGTGAGAATAGCCTACAGCGTTGACAGCAAGGGCTGGAGCGTATTTCATGGCTGTAGATTCTTTTCTGGTTTTAGAAATAGAAACTCTGTTGAAGGCAAGGCAGAAGAAGCTCTTTTCTCTCCCAGGGTTTAGACACAACTGAAGCCCCTTCCCTTCTCCCAGCTCCTCCCTGGGAATGTGGGTAGCAGAGGACCTCCATCCCAACCCCTTCCCTTCTCCCAGCTCCTCCCTGGGAATATGGGCAGCAGAGGACCTCCATCCCAACCCCTTCCTTTCTCCCAGCTCCTCCCTGGGAATGTGGGCAGCAGAGGACCTCCATCCCAACCCCTTCCCTTCTCCCAGCTCCTCCCTGAAGATGTGGGCAGCAGAGGAACTCCATCCCAACCCCTTCCCTTCTCCCAGCTTCTCCCTGAAGATGTGGGCTGCAGAGGACCTCCATCCCAACCCCTTCCCTTCTCCCAGCTCCTCCCTGGGGATGTGGGCAGCAGAGGACCTCCATCCCAACCCCCTTCTCTTCTCCCAGCTTCTCCCTGAAGATGTGGGCTGCAGAGGACCTCCATCCCAACCCCTTCCCTTCTCCCAGCTCCTCCCTGGGGGTGTAGATAGCAGAGGACCTCCATCCCAACCCCTTCCCTTCTCCCAGCTCCTTCCTGGAGATGTGGGCAACAGAGGATATGGTTTGTTTCTCTCCAGTCTTTTCTTCTTTCAGGGAGCAGCAATTGTCCCTCATTGTCTCTGGTATTTGAATACTTTGTCCCCACTTGGTGGCTGTTTGGAGAGGCTTAGGAGGAGTGACCTTGATGGATGTCACTAGAGAGGGCTTTGAGGTTTCTGAAGATTAAGGGCATTTTGAGTTCCCCTAGCGCCCTCCCTCTTTCAATTTGAGACGTGAGCTCTCAGCTGTTCCTGCCGCCATGTCTGGTGCTTGCTAGTCCTCCTGCCCTTTGGTGATGGACACTTATCCCTCTGGAACCATAAGCCCCAAATTAGCTTTTACATGTTGCCTTGCTCAGGGTGTTTTATCACAGTAATAGAAAGGTAATGGACACAGGAAATTTTCTATTTCACAGGAAGCATGCTTCTCAAAAAACAAAAAAAGCCACAGTATATATCAAGTGCAGAAATGTCCACTGAAATATTAGTCTTTTTTTTTAGTTAAAAAAAAACAATAGCTTTGATTTTTTTTTTTTTGAGATACAACCATCCAATTCACATATCATGAAGTTCACTAAGGAAATAAAATTCTTCTGTCTTCAGAACTGCTTTCAAATACATTATAGAACTCACTTGCAAGGCCCGACTCAGTACACACAGCCTGTTCCTGGTCACTCACTGACACACGAGGAGCCATGGCAATTGGAGTCACTGCACAGGCAGACAAGATGATGTGCTGCCCCCTTCCATCACTCATTCAGGTGCTCTTCCAGTCTATGTAAGAGGGTCACAATGCTTTCATGCTTGTTGGTGACTTCACTGTTAAAGTGGCCTCTGTGGTGAAGACAATGATTTTAAAGATCCAGAAATACCTATAGGAGGCCATAGTTCATTTTCATTCTGATTGAATGAGAAGGATAGACAGTTTGTCTCTTTCAATAAAAAATAGGGAAGGGAGAACATAACCATACCTTGGTCATTTCCTCTGACTTCCTGCCCAATGACCTCTTATGATAACTGCTCAAGGAACAGGGCCTTATTGCCTTATGAAGAAAAGGGATAGAGAGCTCTTCTTTGGTAATGTTTACAGCCAAAAAAGTGCATATGCATTGTCTTAGTTAGGGTGTCTATTGCTGTGAGGAGACACCGTGACCACAGCAACTCTTATAAAGAAAACATTTAATTGGGGCTGGCTTACAGTTTCAGAGGTTCAGTCCATTATCATCACGGTGGGGAGCATGGCAGTGTGCAGGTAGATGTGGTTCTGGAGTTGAGAGTGCTACCTCTTTCAGTCAGCAGGAAATCGACTAACTGCCACACTGAGGGAAGCTTGAGCAAAAGAGACTTCAAAGCCCGCCCCCACAGTGACACACTTCCTCTAACAAGGCCACACCTCCTAACAGTGCCACTCTCTTTGGGGGTCATTTTCTTCAAACCGCCACATGCATCAAAAGGTCCGCTATTCCCTGCTACCTTAGTCTTTACTAGTGGCTCTTATCAGGAGTGCACTTGGACAGAGAATGAAGGAGAAGGAGGGGCTGGTGGGTGCTGTGTCCAGTCAGCCATATTGTTAGATATTTCTAGAGAAGAAGAATAGATTGGACTCAATTAGAGATGCTAAATCATATAAGATGGATAAATAAATCAGAAGGAGTCCAGATATCAATGAGAACTGTTAGAGGCACCCCTAGTGGAAGGAAGATTGTCAACAACCAAGACATCCATCCATTGACTGTAGTGGTCATGCGTTTGGTAATTGTGGCCTAGTCCAATAAGTCCTTTCTATTCTGTTGGACATCTTCTGATTTATTTACATAAAAGCTGTAATGATCAACATGAGATAGTTTCTGACAACCGTTCTGATTAAGCCAGTGAAATGTTTTAAGTAATTTTTATTGATGGCCAGACCAAGAGCAGGCTGGAGCCCTCAAAGTCGCTTGATGTCTAAATTCAGGGATACAACATTTTAAAAATGCAAACCCCACAAAGATACATCAGTTAGATGAAGGTCAGGATAACCTTGAAATGTTCACCCCTGGCAGAGCATAGTAGTTATCTCACACATAACTTGCCAATTATTTTGGTTAACATATCTGGTCCATGGTCAAGGCCATGGAAATCTTAATCAAATGTGTTGCCAAAACAGACATGACTGTAGAGGGGCTGAGAACTGTCTAAGCCAGCAGTTTTCAACCTTCCTAATGCTGCGACCCTTTAATACAGTTTCTCATGTTGTGGTGAAGCCCAATCATAAAATCATTTTTGTTGCTACTTCATAACTGTAATTTTGCTAATGACAAAATTTGTAATTATGAGTAATGTAAAACTCTGTGTTTTCTGGTGGTCTTAGGTGATGGCACAACCCACAGGTTGAGAATCACTGGTCTAAGCAAACACAAAATGGATTCAGAACAAGTTGGCATTACCTTAGTCATTTCATTCTCCATTTCTTTTTTTTTTTTTTTTTTTTTTTTTTTTGGTTTTTCGAGACAGGGTTTCTCTGTGTAGCTTTGCGCCTTTCCTGGAACTCACTTGGTAGTCCAGGCTGGCCTCGAACTCACAGAGATCCGCCTGGCTCTGCCTCCCGAGTGCTGGGATTAAAGGCGTGCGCCACCACCGCCCGGCTTCATTCTCCATTTCTATAGTTATTTTCAAATCTTGGATCTTGGCTCGTCAGGGGTAAATAAATACTGGGTCCTGAGAATCATTAGCCAAATAGAGGCAATTCTTTATCTGATGAACTTTAAAAGGCAATTTACTTCATTGGAATGAGGAGTAGGGCAGCTCTCCCGTAGAGCTGGTGAGGCAGCACAAAGGGGAATAAGGGGTAGGTCCTCTCTGGTCCTTATCAAGCATACACTTGGGGGCAGTAGGTGGACAGTCATGCATAAAACTGGATTGTTACACAGATGTTCTGAGGTCATACAGTGGATGAGACCGATGGTACACTCAAGCCAAGTTCCCGTGGAAGCGAAATAAGTTTGAGTTATTTGTAACCATGAGACTAGTATTACAAGACACAGAAAGGGGGACGCGTAATCAAACAGGAGTCCTGTTGTGAGAGAGTCTTAGCCTGGGTGGATCAGATAAGATGGTCCATTTCTGGTCCTGGTTTGGAACAGGCTTGGCAAGGGCGTGGTGAACCCAGGCAGACATCTGGTCAACCTTGATTGCAGCAGCTGGTGTGGTCAGGGTAACAGTGGGAGGTCCCTTCCAGGCAGGTATCAGTCCTTTCTTCTGAAACTTCTTGATGTACCTGGGTCTCTGGGTCAGAATGAGTGACAAGGCAGTGAGGAGGGAACCGGAAGGGCATCTGGAACCCTAGAACGGACTGCAGTCTGGACCTGTTGGAGAGAGGCAGACTTTAGAAGACTGTGAAGTGTCAAACCTAGGACAAACTGCTGAGGTGCCTATTTAACATATCAAAGAGGACCTGGCTGCCAAGTTCTCCCAGCATTCCCCAGTCCCTACCTATTATAGAGGGTTGGTATGCCTGGCCCCTTACCCTGAACTCTCCAGTCCAGGGCTGGGGCTGCCCTTCCTCCAGAGGCTCTTCCCTACATAATCCAGACATTTTGGCTACTTGCCCTCTCTGGTACCTTTGTCCTCCTGGGCTGCTGCACCTGGTTCCCCTCTCTCTCCTCTCCCGTCCCCTCCCCCCACATGGTCCAGCTCAGTCTGCTCCTGTCCACTCCGGACTCTCCCAGATGCCCCTGTCTCTGTCTCTGACTATGTTCCTCCACATATCAACAATAAACTTTCTCCCCCACCATACCTAGGAGCAGCCATGTTCTTTCCTTTCCTTTTTAATTCTTTTTATTTTTATTCAGAGACCAATTGGTAATCTCAATGACAGGGTCCCCTTTTCATTTTCATTTAAACACTTTACTTTTTTTCTCAGCAGTCAATAGGCCTTAAGCACGGGAGTGTCCTGGAGATCTGGCCAGCTGGCCTGAGATATGTCCAGCAAGTCCCCGCAGTCATGGAGGGCCACCTCAGGGTTATCATCAGGCATTAATGTTGCAGGGTTGAGACTGTACAGCAACAAAAGATGGGGTTGATGAAGCGACACAGTGATGTAAGCATTTGACATCCTCCAGCTGTGACTGTTTGAATGAGAATGACCCCCAAGGGCTCGGATATTTGAATGCTTAGTCATCAGTTGTTAGGAGGTGTGGCCTTGTTGGAGGAGGTGTTACTGAGAGTGGGCTTTTGAGGTTTTGAAAGTCTGCACTAGGACCAGTCTCTACCAGTCTCTCTCTCTCTCTCTCTCTCTCTCTCTCTCTCTCTCTCTCTCTCTCTCTCTCTCTCTCTCTCTCTCTCTCTCTCTCTCTCCCTCCCTCCTCCTCCCCCTCCCGCTCCCTCTCCCTGTCTGTGGATTAGGATGTAGAATTCAGCTACTGCTCCAGCTCTGTGCTGGCCTTTCCCACATGCTCCTCCTATGATGGTCAAACGCTAACCCTCTGAAACTATAAGCGTCCCTAGTTAAATGCTTCCTTTTATAAGAGTCGCCTTGGTCATGATGTCTCTTCACAGTAATAGAATAGTGACGAAGACATCGGCCATTTGTCCCTCTTAGGAGGGCTTCCACAGCCTGGGGAGCCGAGAAAGTCAGGTTCTGGCCCGGAGTGAGCTTCCCCTACTTGTACAGCGGTTGCAGCTATGGCACGCAAACGGGATGGCCAACCAGCAGCACCATGTCCGGACTCTTGGACAGATGTGTTACAGGCCTTGGCTAGGATCTGAAACAAAAAGGTGCAGCGGTTTAGTGACATCTGGTAGTGAAAGCTGGTGGTGATAGAGCGCAGAGGTGGATAGAAGGGGGTAGGACGGGATAGAGGTGCCTGAGGTGAAGGGGGGGGGGGTTGGGTTGGGGGTGGGGATGAATCTGGAAGAGGTAGGGGAGGTGGGGATGGGGGAAGACAAGTGTAGACGGGAGCCTAGTAGAGAACCTTGAACTCCAAAGGCAGCAGGACGGGTGGCTGGAGGCTGGTGACAGGCAGCCTACTCAGCCTGGACTCCCTGTTGGTGGTGCGTCGCCAGCTGCCCGCCTCCGCCTTCCGGCACCTGGTTGTGCCACCGCCACCTGGTCCAGGACCTTCTCAGATCTGAGAGGAGCACCCCCGCGGACCCCCGCCCCCAGCTCCCTAGCTTCCACAGGTCCTCTGTCCTCCCAGCACGAACTGGAGTTGCGGCACCCAGGATGGGGCCGGGCCAGCGCCCATGGCTGGCACAGCCTACCCAGTCCTTGCCAGGCGAAGCAGGCCTGGACTGGGGTTTGTCAATGGCCGGGAACGACTCCCCGCTGCGGAGCCCTGGGCCAGGGGTGTGTGGCTCCAGGACCAGATGGGTTTGACTAGACATATCCTGTTCTGGAGAAAAAAAGGAGACATTCTTTGCAAACAAAAAATACAAACAGCTAAAACCGGCAGAGGTTGCCACCTACTGGCAGAATCCGGAAAAACCAGCAGAATTTCAATCTATCAGTCAGTCAGAGTCAGCTCCCTTTTGGGGGGACAAACCAAATAGAAACACCATCAGCAAAAGCAAGAAGTCAATTAAACAACTCCCTGGACCAAACTTGCGTGACACACACTCAATCACTCACACACGAGTAATTGCGGGCCATTCGTTCAAGCAAAACGGAAGCATCTTTCACGAGAGGCAAGAAGAGGAGGATACAGGGTCCCCCACTATCGGCATCCTAACTTAGTGTGGAGGACTGGGGAGAAGTTCTCATTAGAAATTTACTTCCTAAACCAGAAAAGGGATTTGACTATTGACCCCTTTTATCCAGAAGAAGAAGGAGAAGAGACTTTCCTTTGGGGCCTACCCCACTTATCCAGAAGGCTCCCATGGGGCTCATCCTCTTCAACCAGAACCGTAACTGAATTCAGCCTACAGACCCACCTCCTAGGAGTGTCGGAAGGACTCTGTTTTGGTGCTGGGAACACAACAGTCACCCCAGACCTTTCCGGACTCAATGAGAGGAGTTGGGCCCTGGAACACTTGTCGGGAGGCATCTCCCCTATAACCTCTCCCTGGCAGGATAGGAATGAGGCTGGGTCTCCCAGAGCATAGAGATCTCATTGGGGCCTCCAATGCAATGACCCACTCAAGATAGTGTCTGACAACCACACTAATTAAGACAATTCAAAACGTTTTAAGTCGTTTTTATTGATGGCCAGACCAAGAGGGGCTTGAGCCTTTGAAAAGTCTCTTGGTGTCTAAATTCAGGGATACAGATTTGAAAGCAAAAATCGCTAAGATATATCAGAGTTAGGTGGAGGTCAGAGTAACCTTGAAACGTTCACATCTGGCGGAGCATAGTCATTATTTTCGACACAACTTGCCAATTATTTTGGTTAATATGTCTGGGCCGTGGAAATGTCACATGTGTTGCCAAAGCAGACGTGACTGTTGTGGGGAAGGTGGTAGAGGGGCTGAGAACTGTCTAAGCAAACACAAAGTTGAACCAGAACAGGATGACATTACCGCAGTCGTTTCAAAGTCGCCCTATTCCTTCTAGTGAAGGCAGGTGCTTCCGTCACTAGCCGTGAGAAGGTCTAAGGCCCTGAGAGTCCAGAGAACCGCTGCAGTGGGAGTCACGTTGTGCCTGGGGCTTTTCTAGTCTCTGTATTGTCCAAGTACTATCCCTAGGGAATTGTTGAGATGGATGGATGGAGACCCACATGATAGGTCTCAGAGCAATAAAGCGAGGGCTAGGAGGAAATCTTGGAGGTGGTCAAAGGGAGTGAACTGTCTGTCACAATACAGGAACTTAGCAATTTCAACCAGAGTTCAGGCTAGAACCTCTTGTCCGGGAAGAGTGTGAGCAGATTTTGGAGGTCAGCGAAAGCAGTGCCTGTCAGGTGGATGCACTGTGCTTCCTGCCCGGGTCTCTCCCTCATCCTTCTTTCCCCTCTTGCTTTATTTCTCTATTATTGAGTATCCCGAGGTGAGGACTCCGGGGGCCCATATAGCCACTGTTTTATAGCTTTATTTGAATGTCAGAGGCTGGTTAGGTCGTGAGTTGAGTAGTGTGCTGTGGGATATCTTTCTGTATGTTGTGAACATGTGTGGCTACCATTGGATAACAAATAAAGCTGTTTTGGCCTATGGCAAGAGAGCTTACAGCCAGGTGGGAAATCCAAGCAGAGATACAGAGAGAAGACGGGCAGAGTCGAGATAGATGCCAGCCGCTGCTGAAGGAGCAACAAGATGCCAGCAGACCGGTAATGCCACGGCCATGTGGCAACACATAGATTAATAGGAATGGGTTCATCTAAGATGAAAGAGTTAGCTAGCCAGAAGCTGAAGTCATCGGCCATACAGTTTGTAATTAATGTAAGCCTCTGAGTGATTATTTTATAAGTGGCTGTCACAAGACAGAACAGAGGAATTGTCACAGGGTCCTGGAAAAGGTGAGGCACGATCCCACGCTGTTCTTCCACCTGGAGACTGTCCTAGCATCCAAGTCCCATGAGGGAGTGAAGAGAGCCGGCCTACATGCGTCTCAGGTCTTAAGGGTAGCCCTGAGCCATGCCCCAGGGACAGGTATTTAGGGCAGTTACCTGCTGCATCTCCAGGGGCAGTGCTTCAAGGTCATAGACAGAACAGATAGCCACTACAGTGGTGGGAATAATTCCCCTCTCAGGCATTCCCAGGTCTACATTCTTAAATTTTCAGAAAACCTTACTTAGCTGCTCACCGAGAAACACAGAGTTTTTCTCCACCTCATTGGGTCATTGCCAGTCTTTGCAAAATTTGCTGCTTTGGTAACATATTGTTTCATTTCTCCCTGCAACACTGAATCATAATTGGTACCTATGTTTCCATTGATTGTCCTTATTGACTGACCTGATAGTTGCAGTTGGGATTAGCCTCAGGAAATGCTGTTGCTCCATTAGAAAACTGGGTTAACGACTTGCTATTGATATGCCTACACTTGTCCAGCATCCCGGATATGGGATGTCTCATCTGCATTTCAGCAGTGTGGACATATGACCGAGAAGTCCTTTGTGTACACTCAGACGTCAGAATCATGTAACAAAATCCCTTTAAGAATTTTGTAGGCAAATATTTCTATAATGTATCTCAAATCTCTCATCGAGAAGGGGAAATGTGCCAGATGTGACTGAAGAGTCTGAGGTAGGATTAGGATGAGATTGTGGCCAGCCTGGACCACATGACAAGGGAATGAACTCTCAGGTTTTTTTTTTTTTCCCCATGAAGGAGTGCCCCCTCTCTCCAGAGAGCACTAGATAGAAAAAGGCATAAGGGGGGAGGGGTTGTGGAGGGGAGAGGTCATTGGCAGAAGGCTTCTTGGACATCTTAGTTAGGATTCCTTTGCTGTGATAAAACACCATGACCAAAATCAGCTTGGGGAGGAAAGGACTTATTTCATCTTACAGGCTTTTGGTCCATCATCTGGGGAAGTCAAGACAAGTATGTGGAGGCAGGAACTGGAGCAGAGACCAGGGAGGAACACTGCTTCCTGGCTTCCTCCTCGTGGCTGGCTCAGCTTGTTACAGCACTCAGGGCCACCATCCCAGGCGTGGCACTGCCCACATGAGCAGGACCCTCCTACAGCGATGTGGTTCATTTTCAATCAAGAAAAGGCACCATGGGTGTGCCCTCAGGCCAATCTGATGGGGGCATTTTTTTCATGAGGTTCCATTTTCTAAAATGACTCTAGCTTGTGTCAAATGGACATAAAACTTGTCAGGATGTGGTGCTTAGGACATAGGAAGGAGCAGGTGTCTTGTAAGGATGGAGCAAAGAGCCTGAATTTGAGCTGTCTTTCTTGTTCTGTGGAACTCCCAGGCAGTTTCCTGTTGTTTGGACCTTAGACATCTCTCATTTATCTCTTAGCTCCATGAACATCTGAATGTATGGGATCTTAGACCCTTTCTCCTGTCTAGCTGTAAAATAACATTACAGTTTATGCCTCTTTGTGTTAGCTAAAATTTCCCATATTCCAGTTTGTATCGGGGCCATGTTTCTACACAAAAGAGGACTGGGGAGCTTTTCTGAAATGAGTTTGCAGAAAGTTTTATTCCAGTGCTTGAGTATGTATCTCAAGAGGATGGGAGAGACAGTTCCCAGGGACTGGGGTAGAGAGAAGGAACAGTGATGTGTAATCACAGAGGTCTGGAGAAGCCAGGGGCTTGTTGTTGACGTGCCTCTGGGCTTCCTGTAGAGGGAGGGATTGGAGTTAGTGTCCTGACACATGAGCATGCACTTCCAGATCCTGGATTAGGCTCCCAGTCCCATCTCTGTCAGAGGCTATTCCAGGGCCAGAGTATAGAACACCTCTACGTCTCTGAGCACTCCCAACAAGGAGCTTAGAGAAGAAACTCCTCCATCTTTTCAGAATTGATAGCCTTTGAATACAATCGATTCCTTCTTACCAACTTTTACCTTCTAAATACTGGCTGTCAAGCATTTAGGCAATCTGATTTTTCTTGTAACACATGGAGATATACACAACTACTCTAGAGATATAGGTTCGTAATATTTGGAGGACCAAAAGCCTTTTTGTTTTTGAGATAAGATCTCACTATGTGGCTCTAGCTGGCCTGAAACTTGCTATGTAGACCAGGCTGGCCTTGATTTCCCAGAGAGCTCCTTGCCTCTGCCTCCTCAAGAAGCATCCTTGTTCTGGATCTCTGACACATTGCTGAGCATGTGGAAAAAGAATAAAAACAGACTAAGACTCGGGCTATACAGATGGTTATGGTGATATTTTATTTGTGCTGAAATGTGATTTTATTTGTATGTTAATAAATAAAGTTTGCCTGGAGATCAGAGGTCAAAGTGAGCCATAAGCAGAGTTCAGGCGGTGGTGGCACATGCCCTTAATCTGATCACATGGCAGGCAGAGTCTCTATGTGTTCAAGGACACAGCCAAGCGTGGTGACACGAACCTTTAATCCCAGTACCAACCACAGAGACCTGGAGGTCTGTAAAGACAGGTAGTGATGAGGAAGTCATGTGGTTGGGTTTAGAGCCAATGAGAAGGAAGAACAGAAAGGCAATATAAAGGCAAGTCAGACAGGAAAAAACTCTGGGGAAGTGATGGCGAGGTGGTAAGATAAGGTAGTCGTGACTCTCTGATCTCTTTGGCTATTCACCTCTGTATTTGGCTCTATGTTTCTTATTTACTAAGACTGTTTAGAATTTTGTCTACAGATGGTTTTGCAACAGAACAATCAGATGCACGCATTCCAATCATTTAACTACTGAGAGAGGTACTCTCTCAATGAAGGCACTTATTGTGTCTATAAATAGAAAAGACATTGAAGAAACTGTTGTCCAAGTTAATGAAGAAAGTGAAGAGCATGGTTAGTGATGGTCAAAATGAACAGCTTAACCTT